GGGAACCTAAGAAAAGAGGGGATAAAAAATGTATACTGTATTGAAACAGATGAGGGAGAGAACTGTTTAAAAGGGAAATAGGATTAGATATTATTTTTATGACAAGATTACTGGAAAAGAAATGCATATTAAAGTGGACTGTGGCCTGGGGAGAATTGTATAACAATGGAAGAATTTTTTTTTTCTTCAAAGAGAAAAACAAACTAGGGAGGGAGGAGGAAAGTGATAAGTACTCCCCCCCTTTTTATTAATTTTTTTGTTAATGATTTTTAATGCAATATATGTATTTTTTACAACATATTCTTTTTATTTAATTTTTCCCCATAATTAATTCATTGTGGGCAGGGAGGAAAATGTGCAACAGTGAAAGAATGGGGAAAAAATTAAATGAAAAAAAAATGCTGTAAAAAGATACATGTTGCATTAAAAATCATCAATAAAAAATTTAATTAAAAGGAGGGAAAACACTTATCACTCACTTTCTTACAGGATAAAGAAAAAAAAACAAACAAACGAAACCCCCAATGAAGTCCCTCATACCACAGCCTCTTCTTAATCCAGCTTAAACTTCTGGCAGTTCTCTGTCAATGCACAGTTCTACTTGTTTTTAATAACCTTCAGCAAGATTTTACTTGTGAGTGATGTTAGTAGTATTGTTTAATACTTTGCACATTCTGTTGTATTACCTTTTTTAGGTTGTTGCTGTTGATTGCCTTCAAGTTGAGCACGACTCATAACAACCCTATGAAAAGGCCTGAAATCCCTCTATAACTATCAACATTTATCAGAGTTCATAGAGTTTTTGGAGGCATCTTGTTTGGGAAGTGGATGGGAGCAAATATGCATTTGTTCCAGTTAGCTGACCAGGTAGCGATCTTCTAAATTTCTTGACACAGACTGGTGACCATATCCAGGGCTGCATGTGTGAGTTGGACCATATCAATTGATATCCCATTAATTTCTGGGACCGGATATTTTGCCAGTACCTTTAGATGAGCTTGAAATTCTTCCTTCGTCACTATTGGCTCTTGATCATATGTGACTTCCTGAAATAGTTCTGATGGAAAAGTGATTGAGGTTTTTAACAGTTATGGCTTACTCGGCTCCACAATCAACACTCTTAGCACCAGCAGTCAGGAAGTCAAAAGGCAAATTGCATTAGGTAAATCTACTGTTAAGGACTTTTCCAGAGTACTGAGAAGCAAGATGTCAGTCTAGAGACCAAGATGCAACTGATCCAGTCCAGAGTCTTTGCAATTACTTGCTATCCATTAGAGAGCTAAACAATGACTAAGGTTGACAGAAGAAGAATCAATGTCTTTGAGTTGTGTGGAAGAAGAGTCTTGAACATACCATGGCCTGCCAAGAAAACAAATAGGTCTGTCTTGGAGAGGATAAAACCAAGTTTCTCCTTGTAGGCTAGGAATTTGAAGCTCCGTCTAACATTCTTTGTACACATGACCGGGAGGGACCAATTTTTGGAGAAGGACATCATGCTCAAAAGGGTGGGGGGACAGTGCAGGAGAGGAAGATTCTGGATGAGATGGATTGATACAGTAATGAGGGCAATGGGGGTAGGTGTATCGGGGTCAGTGAGACTGGTTCAGGACAGGGCAGGCTTCAGAGCTATTGTACATAGGATCCCTATGAGTCTCAGCAGCAGCAACAACAACATATTGACTCTGTATCCCTCCATCTTCTTTTGATACTTCCTAGATCATTCAAGATTTTGCCTTCAGTATTATCACTGGAGGTTTGACTTTTTTTCCAGTTCCTTCAGTTTTAGAAATGCTAAGTGAGTTCTTTCCTTTTTATTTTCTATCTCCAGCTCTTCTTACATTTCATTATAATACTTTGTCTTCACAAGCTACCCTTTGAAATCTTCTATTCATCTCTTAATTCAGCTTCTCTGCCTTCTTTGTTTTGACTTCTCAATATTCTAGCACAATTTTTGGAGTATCTTCTGACATTCATTTTGGTCTTTTCTTTCTCCCCTATCTTTGCAATGACCTTTTGCTTATTTCATGGATGATATCCTTGAAATCCTCTATATCCTGTGAACATGCTTTCATTCCTTTCAACGTGAGTAATTGATGGTCAGTTCCACAGTCAGCACCTAGCCTGGTTTTGACTACTAATATTGACCTACTTCAATAATTCTTTCCACAGATGTAGTCAATCTGATTCCTATGTAGGCTATCAGGTGAGGTCCTTGTATATAGTTGCCCTTTGCGGTTTCTTAAAAAAAGATATTTGTGATGATAAATCATTGAATGTTGTGATCTTTTTTTATAAAAGGTATTTGTGAGGAATAAATCATTGAATGTGCAAAATTCAGTCATTCACTCTCCAGCCTCATTTCTGGCACTGAGTGTATAATTTCCGAGTACTTGTTCTTTTTATTTATTTTCCAACATTTTCATTTTAGTCACCAATAATTATTGATGCATCTTGAACACATGTTTGGCCAATTTCAGAATGCAAAATTTGCTAAAAAATCCTTGATTTCCTCCTTTTTTGCTTTAGTTGTTGGTGCATCTATTAGAATAATAATTGTATTAACAGGTATGCATATAGGTAGTATCCTATCCATCATCATTGCCCTATAGGACAGATCTTGGTCTTTTTTACTACGACTGCAATACTGTTCTTCCTAAATATTTCATTTCCAGTATATGAAATCACATGATTATCTGATTCAAAATGGACAATATCAGTCCATCTCAGCTCACTAAAATGCCTAGAATGTTGATCTTTACACATTCCACTTTATTTTTTACTTCCAGTTTTCCTAGTTTTATACTTTGTGCATTCCATGTTTCAATAGATATTTGCTGCTCTTTCTACTCACTTTGAGTGACTTCTAGTCTGGGACTCTACTTCCAGTACTAAATCTAAAAGTATTTCTCTATTGTTCATAAGGTTTTCAAAGGTCTGTTATTTCAGAAGTGGAGGGCCAATCCTGTTTCCTATTCTGTCTTAATTAGGCAGCTCCACTGAGAGCTGTCCACCATGGGTGACTTTGCGAGTATTTGAAACACTGGTGCTCAGCTTCCAGCATCACAGCAACCTACAAACTAATACAGCCTATACCACTAGAGCACCTTTTCTCCTATCTAGAAAAAAAACCCCACAACAAAAAACCAAAAACAAACAAAAAAACTCCAAAAAACCGGACAAACTCAAATTCATTGTCACTGAGTTGGAACTGACTTATGGCCACCCCTCCAGCAGGTTTTTGGAGGTTGTAAAGTACATGGGAGAAGACTGCTCATCTTTATCCCCCAGAGCTGCTGGTGGGTTTTGACTGCCAGAGAGGTATCGCCTTTGTGCTGGCAGCTCAATTTCTAGAAGAGTATATCATTAGAGCTCTCATTTAGAAGTGGAGCCAACTCCCTTCTCATTGACTATGGGACAGTCTTTATCTTTTTACAAGAGCCTAGAGTTTCATTTTTTAAGCTGGTATTTTACCTTCATAAGAATAAAATGTTGCTCTTATAAATATCATATAATAAATGGAAGGATGGAAAGAAACAATTTACTAGCAGGTAGTATAACCCCCCCTGCCAGGCACTTTGTCGGATAAATGAAGTGAGAAGATAGAGAAGTCCTGAATAATGCACTAATGTTCAAGAACTCCAAGCATAGGTTAAGATCATTCTCTGTGAAGAGATGATCTCTACTACTAATGCACCAGAAGAAACACTGGTGACATCCAAAGTCAGATCACAAAATCTCAATGAACTTGAGATTTTCACCCTTGGAACCCAGTCACCATATTGTAATGAAATTGTATCCATCTGAAGAACCATATGTGGTTCTTCTGACCAGTACTGTTCATGAAATCTTAGTTACCAGACAGCAGCAGGCCCAGACATATATTTGAACTAGTTTATTCTATGATCGCAGCTCTAGCTACTTCCAGCCCGACTACAACCAGCACGAAACATCTCAAATGAGAACCAGGCAGCTCAGTCCAGTCAAGCCAGATCCCTGAGAAGGAATAAATTACTACTTTTACACTGTGCTGTTGTTGTTATGTGTCATCAAGTCACCTGCGATTCATAGTGATCCTATGTACATTAGCTCTGAAATCTGCTCTATTCTGAGCCAATCTCATCATCTGACAAACCTAATCCCATTTCTCCAGTCACTGGGTCAATCCATCTCATCCTGGGTCTTCCTCTCCTGCATTGTCCCTTCACCCTTACAAGTATGTCGTTTCTCTTCAAGGACTGGTCCCTCCTGACCAAAAGTATGTGAGACACAAAGTATGTGCCCAAAGTATGTGAGACAGAAAAGCAAAGAGGCAATATGGCTCTTGGAGAGTGGAGGGTGAGCACTAGGTATTTCCTCATCCAAGGGAGGTAGACTTACCTCTCTGCAGGGTCCAGCCCCAGTTCCATGAGTGGGGGGAGGTGTAACTCTCACTGTACTATCAAGTTTAATATTTTGTTACATAAACACAAAAAAATTGGACAGTGATTTTGTGTTTTGCAGTATTAGAAGAACAATTATTTTGGTTTATTTCTTATCCTCACTCACCACTTTACAAATAACAGATGCAGAACCGTGTATGAGTCCTTGCTTAAAAGCAAAATATCATGGTGAGGATGATGGCCATTTGAAATTTCTGAAAAAAACTTATTGCTGTGTTGTGGCGGGGGGCGGGGGGATGTTGATCTGTTATACAAAACTTGATTTTCTAAAAATATCTCCCAGTCTCTTCTAAGGAACTTAGGTTAATGGGAGGTGAGAGCTAACACGTTAACTTCAGCAGTGGTTTTGAGGAATATCTATATACAAAATGGCCAGGCTCCCTTGAGACAAAGCACACCCACTGAAATCCCCAGTCTGGTATCAGCTCATCCCACTGTGTTCATAAATGCAGACTAGATGGCAGGCTGGCAAGTCGGCCTCAGCCTCCAAATCTCAGCTGGTCTCTGGGTGACAAATACTGCAGTTGGTGTTTTTGGTTACACCAGAATGTTGGTTGATGCCTATCCTGGCATTCCTGGGGTAAGTCCAGATGCAGGTAGAGTGAGTGTAGGGTTCTCAATGTGCATCATCACCTAGGTGTGGGACGAACTGGAGGAGATGCTGTGGCTCAGAGCACAGGGTTCAAGAATCCGGGGTTTCTTATTCATGTCGTGGAGCATGCCAGCAAAATCTCTGGTATCCTCGCCATGGTCTCTGTGGAAAAATAGGTAGGGGGAAGAATGAGGCTAGGCTTATTCTACTCTGCTGTCTTATCCGGTCCCCTGGGTCTGGGCCTTCTACAGAACTAGGCAGATGGGCTTGTCCCGGATCTTTTGACCTTTCATCTCAGAGTTAGCTATCATATCCTGATTGGCACCTCAGTGCTCCACCTGCTCTTAAGTCCCAGAAACCTCAACTGGGGCCATCACACACAGGTTCACTGGTGGTGGGGACAGTATCAGGAGAACAAAAGAGTAGAGAGCTGCTCAGTTTGGCTTCCTGGTAGTAAGCAACTGTTAATCTTGTTCCCACTCAGACTATCCTCTCTGACCCCATCCTCCTGACCACATAGATTCTAGCACCTGTTCTAAGACCATAGAAGCTGAATCTGACCAAGGCTGGTGATGGCTCAGACTCTGCAACTCCAGCTAAATGATGGGACTTGGCCTGGAGATAGGGACAGTGTCTCTGTAGATGATGGTCCTGTCAGGTCACTTTTCTGAAATCAGGGCTGCCTCCACACTGGAAGGCTCAGCCACCAGCTCAGGCAGACTCCTTCAACTTGGGTGCACTTGAACAAAAAAGGAGACTTTTTTTCTGCCCTTTAGAAGAAGTTTACATATGGCTGGACTTTCCAAGGACATAGTACTCCTTGATCTATACATCTGAAAATTCCTGTAGCTACCCTGGTAGCAGAGACAGCTATACCAGACTGGACATGGGGCAAGCACAGGTCTTGGGAGCCCTATTCTCTAGCCTGTTCTAGGAGTGGGAAATCATCTGCCTTACTGTTCTGCTTCTTACTTGGATCTTATTAAGGCTAGGTTTCTACTCTGGCTTTCTCACCTGTACAACCAGGAGACTAGCTCCAAAGAAGAGGGATGCTCTCTGACTCAGAGTTTGGGTCTGAGAGTCTTAAGGGAGTAGGCTTATCAGAGTACTCTGCTATCTCAAAGGGTCCTGGGGACAACAGGTGAAGGATGTCTGTGCAAGATTTACACCAGGCCAGTAATTCATGGCCAGTGTCTAGACTGAACTTTCAAACATGCTCCCCACTAAAAGGGACCAGGCAGCAGGAGACTGGCTCCTGGGTTAGTTTGCAAAAGTACTAAATGAACCCGGAGCATCTTAGTCAAGAAAGGAAGTATTCAGAGAATTACCAGACATTATCAGGAGCTCAACAGGTTCCCATTGGCCAAAGAACAGTTAGAGAGAGAAAAAACAAACAACCCCCCTAACAAAACAACACTCTGTGCTTCAAGTAATCAAGGAAGGGGTTAATGACATGGTGTGCCCTCTGTCGAAGCTGGGATGGAATACTGTTACTCTAGCCTATTTTGTGTACTTGTGATATTTTCCCAAAACAAGGCCACTTAAAAGAACATCCATGAATACATAGTATACTACAAATGACAACAAAAAGAAGGAGAGGAAAACAACCATGAGCTCATTCTCATTTTTGAAGGCAGGAATGAAAGAATTACAATAAAATCACATCTCTATTTGGCAAATCCTAGGGTAATAGCCAATCCAGAGATCATCCCTAAATTTGAAGTTGTGGGTAGAAGCTGGAGAGACCCTAACTCAGGAGTGACACTAACACAGAGTCAGTACTTGGCTGGCAGCAGAGCACTCTAACAAACACACCTTACCACAACACCTGCATTAGCAAAGCCCCTAACACATATGACTTTAGACAGATCCATGGAAGGGGAGGGACATGCTACCTGTGCAGCCCTCATTCCATAAATGCACACATGAAACTGACTGAGAGACAACACAGACTTGTGCCAACTCTGTGCAAGTCTCCTGCAGGAATTGACATGCCAGACACAAGAGACTGAAGAGTCAGAGGCTTGACCACTGATTGGCACATGATCTGCGATGGACTTGACCACGGGACACAGGCATACCTTTAGGCTAATGATGCCAATGGGAGATGCCCTCTACTACTTCATGTCTACTCCATCAGGATATGCCCTCTTGAGTCAGGAGAATGTATTGGTTCAGAAATAAAGTTTGTGGGCACATTATTGCAAACAGAGCAAGCTGCTGGATCCAAGTAGAGGGAGTCACAGGAGGTAGGTGTTTAATGTGTAGGTTTGAATCTTCAAAATAGAAGTTGTTCTTCCAGTTAATTGGTGAGGTACCTGTCTTCTAAAGGTATGACAAGTAAGCATGACTAGGGGTGCATCTATTTGTGAAATATGCCAACTAATGTTTCATCAATGCTTGAGATCTCATTTTTTTCCCAATGCTTTTAGTTCATCTTGAAAATCTTATTCCTACAGTAAGGTGATCTAACAGAATGTGGCTATTATAAGACAATATCATTAATATCATACATAGTAAAATCTTGCTGAACACTATAAAAACAGCTAGAACAGCACATGGAAAGAGAACTTTTAGAAATTCAAGTCAGATTCAGAAAAGCATATAATTGCTGGGATATCACTGCTGATGTAAATGCAACTTGGCTAAAAGCAGAGAAACTGGTTTACTTGTATTCTATTGACTTTTCTCCCTCAAAGTGAACTGTTCCACTTATATAAAATAGAATCTTTCTTCTCTTAAAAAAAGAAATAGAAATTGTTGTGGGGTAGCTTTGAGTACTAGAAATTTTGAGATGAGGACAGACTAGAGGATTCTCATTCTCTGGCCTTTTTTGGGGTAAGGAGAGTCCTTGGATGCATGTTGCCCTTCTAGCAATGGGTATGGTCCCAGCTTGAGGAGGCATCCCTTCCTCAGGATGGGTTAGAGTTTTCCTGATAACCCCTAGGCCAAGATGTCCATGCCTACATGGTGAAGCAGATGTTCTCATATGCCTGTATGGCAACTTCACCCAAGTGGGGCTGGCTCCTAGTATAACTATTATTATTGTTGAGGCCTTTGAGGCCAAGGTAGGCAGCTTGCACAGTCTCCAGGTCCTCTCTTCTGAGCTGGTACCACATCTGGGCTGTTCTGGATAAGAAAGCAGAAAGAATGAACACACAGCATCTCCAGGAAGATAGACCACCCATGCCACAAACTCCATACAGCCCCAGGGAATTGTGGAATCTTCAGATGCCCTTTGAAAGGGGCAATGAGGCAAAACTGTAGGGCTTTCAACAGTGGATTCAGTAAGTGTGATGCAGTTACCAACACTTATCTGCAGCATCTCCCCAACTCTTGTCTATTTCTTCAGGCAATAGTGGAGGAAGGCCATGGGCATTGTAGACAATATAGAGACATTTACAGCACTGAAATAACATGCTGGATGTAGATGGCACATGTACAAAGGTTAAAAGATAATAAACAATTGTTCATGTACTTCAAAGAGTTGACTTTCAATAGAACATACATTCTTCTACAAGCATATTGTTGTTGCTGTGTACTGTAGAATCAGAAGAGACCTATAGCTGATGCCCTGGTGGGTTTCCAGAGGCAGATAAGTGTATGAGAGGAGATTGCCCATCCTTCAGGATTGCAATATAGCTTCTTGCCACTAGGCCACCACTGCAATCTGGAAAGCACACAGTTCAAGTTCACCAGCTGTTCCTCTGCAGAAGGATGGACAATCTTCTTCTGTGTGATTAATTGCCTCTGAAAATCTGCTGGAGGGTCAGCTCTGGGTCAGTTCTGGCTCAATGTTGTACAACACACAATACCTTCTAAATTATATTTACAACATTTTTCAGCATCAGCCACATATATGTGATCTACCGGACATGGGCAATATGTCTTGTGATGCACTCTATATCCACTCCTTCTTCCCTGGAGTGTGGGCACCTTGAGGGAATTAGGGCTCAAGGCTGCAGGTCTGTTTTACAGACAGGGTCTTCCCTACACCAGCTGCTGGCCAGGTTGTACCTGTTAGAGTGTCCCTGCTCTGTCCTCTTCACACACTTCATCAGGCAGCAGGTGAAGAAGGCCAGGGACATGAGGAGGATGATGGCACAGCTGACAATGGAGGCAATCACAGCAACCCTGAAGCCAAAGGTCTCATATGGGAGCACAGCTAAAAGGGAGGCATTTATCAACTCCTGGGCAAGCTTGCCCACACCCACCTGGGCTCCGTGGCTCAGACCAAGCCCAGCCACGGGGAGCCCATTCTAAAGCAGAGACAGACACTGTGCAAACAATTTCTATGTGTGGGGCTGTCAGGGAAGATTTTGCCCACAAAGAACATTTGGGGAGAATTCTTTAGAGGTTGTGGAGGAGTAAAAAATTGTAAAAAAGTTCTAGTGAGAGGTCAGCATAAAGGCCTTGCACACTCCTACCAACTGGATCCCTGCTGAGAAGCAAAGGAAGAGTGGGGCTACTGAGGCTAGAGGATGGCAGTCACTATCATGGTCAAGTACTCTGCCTGTGAAGGTCAAAGTTTCATCCTGTCACCCATAGGCTGACCATGAACATCTAGTGTGAGCACCCTTCATATTTCCTTCTTTGCATAAAACCGGAAAACCAAAGGTCCTGCCCTCAAGTCCACACCAGTCACAAGTCTACAGACAGCATGGAGCTGCCTATCCCCAGGTTTCCAAGGCTGTGGATCTTGTCAGCAGCACACTCCCACAGAGAGTTTGAATCATTAGCCTTTCTGTTAGCAGCCAACTCTTTAACCATTGTGACAACAATCTCCTATACCCTGTTCAAGAAGAAAGACTACCTCCTTTCTTGACTGTCACCTGTGGGCACACTGTAGTCTCATACACCAGTGCCTAATGAGTGCATGCAGTATGCGTGAATAAAGTAATGCATGTGTGAACATCAGCCTTCCTGCTGAGTATTGTAGCCCAGTGAGCTCCAGAACCTCCTGTTACCACAAGGGTACAGGGCAGGTCTGAGGCAGAAAGCTAGGATTAAATACCCAATTTTGGGATTCACGTGTAGGAGGCTGCCACCACTCTGCAAATACGGCACTCTGGCAAGCAAGAATTAATGCAAGTAAGTCCACCATTGGCCTGAGTACTGAACTCTAAACTAAGGCCAGCCTATGCTGGCAGACGTTCTGTGCTTATTCAGGGACCACCCACAGTCACCCTATGGAGGTGAAACAAGGCGATCCACCGAGGGGCAGTCATCAAGCGGGTCTTACACTTGCACATGGGTACCCTTGAAGACCACTCCGCAATGCTCCCCCTCCAGGCACAGGTGATGAGGCCAGGCCCACCCATCTGGTGGCCAGAAGGACAGTGGAATAGTAGTATTGTCCCCACAGAAGTGCCATTGCCACGAAGGATCTGGAAGGCTCCTTTTGTAGGTGGCTTCATTGGACTGCAAGTGCCTAGAAAGAAAGAGACAGATATAAGGGCCCCACTTTGGAAGCAGAAGGTAAAATAGTCAGTCATGACTCGAGCAAGGCAGGAAATTTTACATGGCCAAGGTGCTGTGTAAATGGAGCAAGTGGGTAAGGGCTGGTCCACAGGCCATATTGGACTGTGGGAGAGACATGGTGTCAGAGGGAAGTGGCCACTCAGCCATCAGGGGGACAGGTCACTGAGAAAGCAGCAGAAATGAAGAATAAGATCCAGAAGCTAAGAAAACTTTTGTTCATTGCCATCAAGTCATTCTGACAAAGTGACATAATGAGTGCAAAGGGTGTTACATCTAAACACATTGGCTTGCTAGGCCTTTACCCCAGGGTACCCCTGAAGGGGTTCTAATCACCAGCCTTTTGGCTAGTAGTGGAGAATTTACATATTTCCACAATTCAAAGACTCTCGTAAAAGATTTAGCTATTAAATGTTGTTGATTGCCTTCCAGTCGAGCATGACTCATAGTGACCCTGGGAACAAAAGGCCTCTACAACTATTGACATTTATCAAAGTTCATAGAGTTTCCAGAGGCATGTTATTTAGGTAGTGGATGCCACTTTAGGAACTAAAATATTAGAAGAAAATAAAAGGAATCGTCCTTTTTACTTTTAATAATGAAAAAACTGATATTAAAAATTAATATTAAACATTTAGGAAGAAAATATGAAAAATATAGGACAAAAGTTTAGTTACCTTACTTCATAAAGAAATCTTAGAAATTGAGTAACATCCAAAGAGAATAATGGATTCATACATGGGTAGGAAAGTTGCACAGGAAAAACAAATGGCCAGCTGGCATGCAAAGACGTGATTACCATCATAGCTATTGCAGAAATTCAAAAGACAACAGTCGGTTTCTGCCTCATGTAGTTGGTAAAGATTACAAGAAAGCAGTAACAGTGACACCAGTGAAACCTGAGAGTGGACCTCTCCAAGCTGGAGTGGGGCACTGTACATAGCATACTCGAACTTTCTGGATGGAGGTTAGTACAAGAAAGTGAGTCTAAAATTATGTATACACCTGAGATTTAACCAAAGTAAATAATTTCTAATCAGCTAATAAGTTATATAACAGAATATTCATTTCTGACCTGTTTACAATAGTAAAAAGTTGGAAATTATTCCATAGTCATAAGTAAGGGTTTGGATTGGTAAATAAAATAATATTCAGACAACAAAATGCCAAAGTGCATATTACTCCAGGGTGTGACTGTACTGTAATTTCTCAGTCTATTCAATTGTAGTTGGAAATTTGGCTGGTTCCATGTTCTTATACACAACACAGCTATGAACATTGTGTGAATTCAATCTCATAAGGACGAATATTGCATAAGACCATTATTTTAAAAATAGAAGGATAACTAGTAAAAATTATCCCTGTGTGAGGGCCCATGGGGGGAAGGGGTGGGAGCAGAGGGTACAGGATAGGCATGGGGTGGGGGAAGGAAACACAGGGTCCTACAATTTGGTAGGTGGAGAGAGAGGGTAAAGGAAATCGAAAGAATCTGGAGGGGACCTGAAATAATGGGGTAGTGGTGGGCATAGTTCAATGGTGATTAATTTTACAAAACAGTGTATAGGAATGATTGTATGAAATATAATGTGAATGAGGCAAAGTGTGAAACACAACATGTTGTTGTTTGTTGTTATGTGCTGTCGAGTCGTTTACGACTCACAGCGACCCTATGCACAACAGCCCTAAACCCTGCTCTATCCTGCACCAACCGCACTGCCTCTGACACACCCATCCCGATTACCCCAGTCACCGAATCAATCCATCTCATAGAGGGTCTTCCTCTCCTGTGCTGT